GATCTCTTGACCTCGTGATCCGCCCGCCTCGGCCTGTCAAAATGCTGGGATTAGAGGAGTGAGCCACCGCGCCCAGCCGGTTTTTTTTACTTTATCCTGAAAACCATGTGTAATGGCCTCTAGCTGCTATTGTTTTAGTGCTGACCAGCCTGTTTCCATCCCATTTCTTTCTGGAAACAGGCTGCCCTTGGTCCTTCAGCCATAGCCCTCCAGCCTGGGTAATCAGAGTACGCAATAATGAGATGGTGCCAGATTGAGCAGGACCAGTCAGAATTCTTTTCTGGAGTCGACAGAAGGCTCTGGGGAGAATTCCACTGAGGCTGTAAGCTAGGAGCATGTAAATTCAGGGATGTCAGGGGGAAACATTCCCCCACCTGCAGTCAGACTGTTAACAAAGGAGGCCAAGCAGAGCCACACAAAAACAACACAGGCTTGGAGAGAGCACGAGAAAGCGAGAGCAAGAAAGGAGAGAGAGAGAGAGAGACAGTGCGAGAAGAGAGGAGAGAGAATCAAGTATTAGTTCCAGTTCCTAAGGTCTGTTCAATTCTGCGAACAATCCAGGTATCGTTCTGGACTCTCTGAGTCCATTTCCTTTCTGTTAAGCACTTGGTTCCGTAATATGTCACCATGACAAACACAGTGTGATTCCCCTGCTAGGGTTCAATGGGTGGAGGACGAGCTGATCAGAAAGTTTGTCATGGTGACAGCAGCCCAATTTCATGCTGGAGATGAAGGCAGCTCCCGCTACTCCATCCAGCATGTGAGGGGCCCCTCTCTCTGCCCTTTGGATGTAGATAGCCCATTCCACGCAGCCAGACCTTCGCATATGGCTTTCAACTATACAGAAATTCAGATGGCAGTTCTTGAGACCCTTTTCCTCTCATCAACCCCACCTCAAACATCTTCCGCCTCCCAGCTCTTAACCTTCCCTATCTATCCCAAGCTCTGCCAAGCCCCCTTTTATCAGCCAGACAGGATTCTGTGTTCTGCTTGACACATCTCATGACCCTAACCCATGCCACTGCCCTCCTCCAAATAGGCCTTCCTCCCACCCAGGTCATCCACTTGTTTCTGAATGTTCTCACTTGGAAGTTGCTTCCTTATTGCCTTCTTTCCCAGGCTCATCCACAGGCCTAGAGCATCCTCTGAGGGGCTGGCCAGAGAGGCTTGGCTGAGTCCAGGGGGTGCTGCTTTTGTGGTGCAGGTTGCCTCCCCGCCCCGGGCGACTCCAGTTCAAAAAGCACTGTGGCATGGCTGGAGGTCCCACAGGCCCAGCCCGGCTCCATAGTGAGGAGTGCGTAAGGCCTCCTGAAGGTGGAGATGCCAGCCAGTCACATCTACAGAAGCCCCAGCTCACAAAGAATGGCACATCTTGATCCATTTTTATTTACAAAACAAATTCTAAATGTGTTTGTGTGTATATGCATATGTGTATATATACACAGACTTACATATGTATGTTTACATACATCTACATTTACATGTATATATACATCTACATTGTATATACATTTACCTTCTATATAAATATATTACATTTATACACATATACATTTATATGTATATACACACATATGTTTACACATGTATCTATAATATAATGTATACTATATATAAGAAATCGAGAAGCAGGCTGGGCGCGGTGGCTCACGCCTGTAATCCCAACATTTTGGGAGGCCGAGGCAGGCAGATCACCTCAGGTCAGGGGTTCGAGACCAGCCTGACCAACATGGTGAAACCCCCCCATCTCTACTAAAAATACAAAAAGTTAGCCAGGTGTGGTGGCAGGCGCCTGTAATCCCAGCTACTCGGCAGGCTGAGGCAGGAGAATCACTTCAACCTGGGAGGAGGAGGTTGCAGAGAGCCAAGATCGTGCCACTACATTCCAGCCTGGGCGACAGAGGGAGACTCTGTCCCCCCACCAAAAAAAAAAAAATTGAGAAGTAAATATTCTAAAATGTCAGTAGTGGTGGGATTTTTAAAATAAACTTTTAAAATAAAAACTGTATTGAGTTATACTTTGTATACAATAATCTGTACCTATATTAGTTGAGTTTCGATAAATACTTATGTAACCACTGGGTGGTTCAATATTTTTATTTTCTTCTTTATGCCTTTCTTTAATTTCTAATTTTTTATATTCAGTGGACAAGTGTGATGAGTAATTAGGTAAGAACATGTACACAGGGAGACAGACAGAAATCATTTCTAAGTCTCTGGCCTTGCAGTCAGAATCTAAGGGAGGCCAGTCCCTGAGACAGGACAGATTGGCCCTGGAGTAGGCTCTCAGCTGACCAGCAGCTTCTTTCTTTTTTTTTTAGACACAACCTCACTCTCTCGCCCAGGCTGGGGTGCAGTGGCATGATCTCGGCTCACTGCAACCTCTGCCTCCTAGGTTCAAGTAATTCTCCTATCTCAGCCTCCTGAGTAAATGGGATTACAGTTGTGCGCCACCATGCCCAGCTAATTTTTTTGTATTTTTAGCAGAGACTGGCAGAGCTGCTGGCCAGGCTGGTCTCCAACTCCTGACCTCAAGTGATCCACGTGCCTTGGCCTCCAAAAGTGTGGATTACACTGTGCCCGGCCCCACCAGGGCCTTCTATAAGCACTGCCTTATGTGCCTTCCCACAGCCACTCTTTGAAAAGTTGGTTAAGGCAGAATGTTCACCCACTGCAGGTGAATAATCCACAGCTCAAGAGAGGTCAAGTGACTGGCCCATTAAGAGGGGAATCACAGAGCCAGTTAAGTACAGGTGAGCCCAGGACTCTCTTCATTCGCCATTCTTAACGGGTGCAAGGAGCCCAAATGAACTTCGCCCAGGTCCACAGGTGTCCCTGGCTCCTCAGAACTGCAGGGAATGAGGCCAACCCCCTGTCTGGACACAGCAGCCCACCCTGCTTCCCACTCAGGCTGGCCACCGACTTGATTCAGGAGGGGAACAGTGGAATCTGGCTCAGAGCAGGACTGCTTCCTCTGGGGACCTATTAACGCCTTGAGCACACTCAAAAAGGGTGACCCACCGCCTGCCCTCCTCCCCAGCACAGCCAAAAATGACCTTGATCTTGGCCAAGCCTACCCAAGAAGAGAAGGAAACGCCCCTCCTCAGCAGCAAGGCAGGGTGTGCAATCCCTCCTATTTTTTTTTTTCATAATTGAGATTTCATTGGTTGAGGATCAGTACAGACATTTCAATTTGTACACAATTCTTAACATATGTAACGACATTCTAAAAAGCCACGTATTGTAATTCTTTTTTAAAGTTATTCCAATGACTTTCCAGCTTAAAATTTGGAAGCAAATTTTCCTTAAGAGGCTATCAAGTACCAGTTTCTTCACATGTTGGTCAGCTGTTACACACGGCCCACCAGTTCACAACTGAATAGCATGTACACTACATATTCAAATCTGTAATCTTTCACAGCACAGTAACAAAGTTGTTAGGAAAGCAGGACTACCACAACCAAAGATGTTACAGAGTGCACACAATTCCAACAGGGAGCACCATGATCAAGGAGCGGTTTTCTTTAGGAAACAATTCTACTAAAAAACATGAGAATAGAAGTAAAATAAAATGTTCAAGACATTAAATGCAGGACTGACTCCATATTGCCATTTAATATGCTTTGTATTCTAGGATATAAAAACTAACCCCCCATCTATGGAATGTTAAGCTGACACCCGAGACAGTCAAAGCCTCCCATAATTCAACATCCCACACTATTTTCTGGTTGTACCAAAAAATAAGCAACCAGCAAATGATTTCACCTCTTAAAAAAAAAGCATTTACACTTAAAAAATGGGATGAGGTGGGATTCCCTCCTTCTTCAAAATGTTTCTAGAGCTACTAAAAAACTTGCATTTACAAAATAGTTGATAAAAATATTCCTTTGGGTTGTACAAGAAGGGAGACATGGACCACTGGTAAGACATGGTATATGGTATTAATCAGACTTGGCTTCTTTCTCTCCTGCTTCATCAGAGGCTGGACGCTCCTCAGTTTTCGTTTCCCGGTTTTCTGCAGGTAAATCTTCTTTAGTTTCTTGGTTAGCCACTTAAGCCTGTTTTCCCTTTGCTCCCCTTTTCCCTTTTGTTTGCACTTTTTTGTCTGAAGATTTATCCTTCGCTGCTGCCTTTTTCGGCCTCGCTTCCACTTTTCCAGGAGGTTTAGCTGACAACCGCCCCGATCTCCTCTTGGGCTCTTCCTTGGCGGCCCCTTCGGGGGAGCTGACCTTCCTCTTGGGCATCCTGGCGGCGGGGAAGGCGCGTGCCGGGTGCCTGCGGGCCGCGGCGCGCCAAGAGCCTTCGCGAAACTGGGCTGCCTGGCCGCTGCCACTCCTCCCTCCTATTCTTATATCCACTTCTCCACCTCCAGCGAGGGATCCTACCAGAGCCCCTTGAGGCTGCAAACCTAGAGGAGGTTCCTCCAGGCCCCTCTGACTCAGTGAAGCTAGAGATTCAGTGCTGGAGACTGACATGGAGAAAAACGCACAAATAGAAGGCCCTTGCAGCTTCAGTCTACCCTGGGAGGAGGCTGTGGGCCAGGATGACCCTATATACATCCCAACCCAGCACCACCACCACCACCAGCATATACAGCATTGATTATGCTCCTACCACTTATTGATTACGCTCCTACTACAGTAGTTCAACAACACCACCAACAACAAAAACTTCCTAGCGCCAAAGGTTACCGGAGGTTGCCACCCAAACCCTCTGGGGCCCCTCATCATTAGACTCCCGCCCCTGGCGACCGCCCGAGGCCCACCCCCACCACCACACGCGACTTCATCCGAAAGTTCTTCCTCCGAGAACTCCGAGAGACACCCAAGGGACTCCAGGTAAAGGTGAGCCCTTCCAGCAGTCGCCCTCTGGCTCGGCGCGGAGAAGAGCGCTCAGCCTTCCTGGGGCAAATTTTACTAATACGGGACCCGAGCCCCTCGACCCGAAATACGCCCGAGACATTTATCCTAAAAAACGATAAGGCCCGGCCGCCCAGCAGAACGGCCCGGCTCGACCGCGCGCAGCTTGCAGGCAGGGGTGTGTGCAGGTCCTGTCTCTTATACACATCTAGATGTGTATAAGAGACAGACTGAGAACCTCGCAGATCTCCTCTTGGGCTCTTCCTTGGTGGCCCCTTCAGTGGAGCTGACCTTCCTCTTGGGCATCCTGGCGGCGGGGAAGGCGCGTGCCGTGCCAGGTGCCTGCGGGCCGCGGCGCGCCAAGAGCCTTCGCGAAACTGGGCTGCCTGTCCGCTGCCACTCCTCCCTCCTATTCTTATATCCACTTCTCCA